TTTTTTTCACCAACATGGCGGCAATGACGTAAGGTGCAAACCACCAATTAAAATAATTTGCCGTCGCGGTTTCGGTCTGCAGACGACGGAAATTTTGGTGAAAACACGTTGTTGTTTTGCAAAGGACGGCTAAAAGATGAACCAAGTTTTAAAATGCACTCGCTAAGCTATCGTTCTGCCGATTAGATCTTTTGTTTTTTTCACGTCCTCGTTGCCGTCGCCGTCGTGGTTTGTTTTTTTTTTCTAATAGCTCCAAACAGACAGGAAAAAATCACTTTATTCATTTATTCATAAGTTTTTTTGTTCACCGGTTCGTTTGATCAGTTTTTCAGTTGATCAGATCAGTGATTAGTTTTTTTTTTATATTAATTTTGATGTGCTTTGCTAAGTATTTTCATTTTTGCGCATTTTTCTTTTTTTGCAGCTTGCCATTATTTGTGGTCTCGGAATCCTCGTTTGGTTGAAGAGAAATAAAACAGCGGTGAGTAGAAAAACAATGAATGCATCTATGTACAGACATTTTCCTTAGAAAGTGACGAAACAGTCTTTTCCTCTAACAAGGTAGCAGAATCAACAGGCTTTGAAAGCATCGGTGGCACACACCCACCCACGATTTCCCTTCAACTAACCCCCTCCCGTGAGAGGCGCAAATGTTGGTTCAAGTTCCCACCCCCCCTACCCCCACATTCTCCCTCATTTCAGGAAAAAAAGAAAAGCAGCAGTCTACAGCATTTAGGCGATAACATTTAGGCGATAATTGAGCTAACTTTTTTTCGGTTAGCTCAATTGGTAGAGCGCCGGACTGTTGTGCGGGAGGTCGTGAGTTTTTTTTTGGCCGGACCAACACTCAGGGTCTTTAATTAACCGAGAAGAAAGTGCTGCCTTTTTTTTTATATCTGCAAATGGTTAGATTTTCTAGTCTTCTCGGATAGGGACGATAAATGGAGGTCCCGTCTCCTGCAGGGTTGGGGTAGGAGACGTTAATTTCTCTCACACGAGATTATTTTTTTATGGATGTCCTCCCCGGGGCGGGATGGGTGGGTAAAAAGGTGATTAGGTGTCTTTTTTTACGAAAGTTCCGTTCCTTTCTCCTGCCATTCCTGTGGCGAATGAATTAAACTTAAACTCAAACTTAAACTTAAATTTAGGGTGATTTTATGCCTTCCAGATGGTGTTTTACTTTTTTTTGAACATCCTGTGGTTTATTGTGAGCCTTATCCAAGTCATCATCGCGTTCATCGCCTGGGTGATTTGGCACTTCATAAGGAAGTTGGTTGAGACGAACTGCTCTCAACGTGGAGACACATGCCATTGTAGCACCGATAAGGAAGAGCCATGGCCGGGTAAATATCTAGAGTGAAGCTAGATGATTGGTCGTGCCGGTTAGGGGATACAGTTGAACCTCTTCCCAATGCCACCTTTAGGACACAAGATTGTGGCCGTTGCAAAGAGGTGGCCATTGTAGAGGGGTGGTCGTTAGTGGAGGTTCGACTGTATATAGAAAGTGTTTTTATAGCTTTGCTGTTACTTTTGCCACGACTATTGCAACTGCTTTGCGAATGCTACTGTTTCGATTCGTTTTGCATGATTTAAAAGCACCTAAGCATATTGCTTGTGGGCCAGAGAGGCACTGTCCGTTAAATACAACCATTATTTTTCCTTTTGCAGTGCACAATTGCGATGACATCAGGGTCATCGAGAGCTGCTTCTTGGCAATCCTGATCATGAGTGCGTTTGGTGCCATTATGACTCTGTCAGGTTCCATCATCGGTTGCATGGGCACATGTTGTGCCAAACCAGCTGTAAGTCACGTAATCTCGGAATGAAAGTCGCCAAATCTTATCATGACAGTAATTTTGGGTCACGATATTTAGAGATACTAACGATATTAATCTTAAGAAATAAGAATTTGAGGTTCGCATTTTCTCACCGTCGAAAAGTTAAATCTCACTTACTGAGAAAACACTGAGACCTAGAATTTCACATTGGAAGGTTACTAACCGATGTGTGACCTTTATTCGTTATCATGCTGGATCATCAATCTGGTATGTCCCACATGTCTTGAATAAAAGGAAAATCAATAAGTGTTCTTCCAAAAAAAGCAAATGTGTTGACCAAAGACAGAGTAAAAGGTTTGACTTAAAAAAAAAACATTCATCCCACTTCCAAAAGGAGGGAGAGAAAGAAAAAGATCGCTTCTTTGGTAAAATGTTTCCATGCTAGAGTCCAACTCACATACGAGGGAGTGTCAGGAATGTCATGATGAATAACTTCTTTTCTCGTCAAAGGAGATATGCTGTCAACGCCTCCCCCCTTCTCCGCTCCTTAGCAAATCATACTGGAAGTCTACCGAGGCCATATTTTTTTAACTTAATGCGCGACTTATTTTTACAGACAGCCAACGTGGTAGTGGTACAGCTTTTTTTTGGGTATCCTATGGTAGTACAGCAAACCACAACTCAGGGCTATGCGGCTCAGTTTTTTTACCCAGGTCAGCAGCCATACCCAGGTCAGCAGCCATACCCAGGTCAACAGCATTTTTTTATGATGCAACCAGCCGGTGCCGGGGGTCCCCCACCTGATTATGGGTTGCCACTTTTTTTGTAAAAATCAAGTGTTAAATTCACCATCCTATAGCATATTTTAGTTGGACTGCTTTTGTTTAATGCATTCTTCTGTGTGAAAAACTAATCCAGGATTCCGTTTGTCTTCAGTATGGTCTTCTAAGTATTTCGTACCTAGATCCTGCCGCGTAACTGAAATGTACACCCGCTTAGCCGTAGAAGATCTGGGTAGGAGACTCGGTCTTTTATTGATTATGCTAATTACCTCTTGACCAAATAGATGCAAAATTGCGTCAGGGTCGTTTGCGTCACCCTTTAACTTCAGTTAGTGAGCTTCTGATCACTTTGAAATCTCTGTTATATCTTCGGTTTGGTTTTACAATATTCATTTGAAGTGCGCTTAAAATTTCTAAAAGTAGATAGATACTAGCGCTATCAGAGATGGTGAATTCATTTATATTGTTATTTACAGAAACCATTGCTATGTTGGTCAGCTTAAGACGGTTGTTAAGTTTTTTCCAACTTGTGTCTTACTCGTTTTCTTTAGTTAACCAGACCATCGAGGCTTTCACCTCGCAAAGTTGTCATTGTATGGTTCGATTAAAAAAATTCACTAATGTCGTGGTCTGTGGTACCATAAGTAATCCATAATCTAGTTTTTAAAGCGCTTAAAATTCGGTTAGAATACGTGGGAGATAAGTTGGTTCATCAAGTGGTTCAAAGCATCACATTCTGGCATTAGAGAAAGCTTCCTTACGCGTGCTTGATATGAATTCTTATCACCCAACAAAATATCTTAGTTTTGATTGGCTAACGCGCCCTCTCCTTGTAGAGTGACGTGGAAAGGAAAATTTTATGCACGGTTTATCTCACACAATTATTATAAAAGATTCATCTATTAGAACTACAGTTGATAAGTATTTCGAGCGTCCATGCAGGACACACCAAGACGTGTACCAAGAGATTTTGTTGAGAGTATAAAAGACTAAAACCCGCATAAATTGCTCACACATTTAGTTACATTTTACGATTGATAGTCCCTTTCGATGCTTTAAAAGGTTCTCCAATTTTACCCGCCTACAGCCTTGAGAAAACTTTCAAAAATCCACAAGTAATCCACACTAGGGTATCAAACCTGGCGACGGATCTAATCTCTGTCAATATGATTCGGTTTGGCACTTGTGAACGACGTTTCTGCAAATTCTGAATATATCACGACCCACTTAGATGACGGAGTATAAGTTTTAAACGAATGTTATGCTCAGTGTGGCATCAGCAAACCAAATTATAACTGTTAGTAAGATGAATATAGGAATTGCAATTAAAAGGCCCTTTGATCCCACTTTGACGTTTGTAGTCCAATTGGTAAAACGTAAGATCAAACAAGCTAGAATTACCAAATCAGAAAGTGGTTTTTCATCTGTGAGCTTCTCCCATGTTTAAGCACTAGCGGCGTTTCGCACATTCTTTGCAATCGGAATACGGTGCTTATTCAAGGGAAGCGCCAATTGATTAACTATCATATCTAAAGATACAATGACTATAAATATTGGCAGTGAAACCTGATTTTTTTCCATAACTGCTTAATTCGGTTGGGAGAAATAGACTTGAGCTTTGCGGCGGCCGTTTGTTCCGATGAAGCCCCTAGCCTTATAACAAAACTGCACGTTGCAAAGAATCCGGATTTTTTTAGATAGCAACATCAACTATTGGTGCAACTACTGATCTGTCAAAAGATGTAAATTTTTTTGCTACGTGACTCGCTCTCTAACAGATGTAAAGGGACTGGCTACGTGACTCGCTTTTTTTCAGTTTTCATATCTCCACGAAAAAAGTATATTGCGCCATCATCATGATGGTCTTTTTTTAATAGGATCTTACATGCACCGTTGTCTTTAAACTAAGATGAATATTTTCTCTTTTTTTTGTGAATAGCTATCTTTTCGTAGTCGACTTTCAAACGATTGAAAACGCCAGATTTTTTTTGTTTTTTTCGTTCATTTTTCAGACAACTTCTTTGTATATTGCGGAAACTTGAAGGTTGATAAGGGTTTAGAACAATGAGTGCAAAACAAATCACCACCACGGGTTTCCTAGGATATTTTCAAAACATCCAGCGCACCTCGACTGTTGCTAATCGCTCGGAACTTTTTTTCTTTTTTTTTCATGGAAATAAAAAATAGATGACCACTGCTGCGCACAACCACAAGGAGCCTTTTTTTTCTGTTTGTGTAGCAGACTGTTGTTTTATAGTGAATGTAGGAGATTTACCGTTTGCCTCACCTATATTAATATATATTGCTGACTATGTCCATAAATCATTGATAACTAACCGTTGAATTACTTTACCTGTGGTGTATAGTCGTCCTTTTTGCCTCTAAAATTTTTTTTTTTTTTTTTTTGAAAAAGTCCGAGTTCGTCGTTAATGTAATGCATAAAAGAAAGTCTTTCTTTGACTTGATTTTACATCATGTCAAAGAAATCATGCACATCTTAATTTCTTTGATTTTTTTTTTTTAAGTAGTTGTAACAGAGGCTTTGCATATATCTTGCTGCTTTTAGTAATTGTTTTTTTTGAGCTTTGCAGGTTCCGAGATTTACAGCGACGTTAATTTATCCTTAAAATTAACTTTGGACTCCTGGAAAGAATGTTTCACCAAACGATCAAATGAAATCGTAAATCGTTCTTTTTTTTTTTGCCTTGTAACCATGAAAACAGGGCATAAACAGGAAGCGATAATCATTTTTGAAACAATATTACTAGCTTTCTTTTTATCAAACAAAATAGGTGGTTTGCACTTTACGTCATTGCCGCAATGTTGGTGGACGTAAACAATAGATATCTCATTAGCTTCTTTTGTTCGTTTTTTTGCATTTGTTCCTTTCACTATTGACAATCGGCCTTCATTAACGTTTGTGGACCTTAGTGCGGTATCATTGGTTACGATGGTTTGTTTGGACGATTATTTACGTTCGTTCCTGTAGGAAACAAGCTCTCATTAGAATCTCACAGGACGACATTGGCCGCAGAGAGTCTTTTGTGGCCACTTCCCTTGGCATTGAGGCCTCGTAAATCGGTTGTGGATTCACTGAGTGTCGCTTTTTTTTCCAGATTTTTTCAACCCGTTTTTTTTTTCTCTGCTGAAGTCCTGAGGAATCTTTTTTTGTGAAGCCGAACCAGGCAAGGCTAGGGCAGCTGGAATTGTGGGCATACTTATAGGAATAGTGGGTCTTTGCAATCTCGTATGTGGTTTCATCTATATTGCACTCGGTGGAAAGGATGGTGCTGGTCTGTGGGTAGGATTCCCGGTAAGTTGAACGACGATTACCTCAGATTTTTTTTATTTAGCATGGGTTTTACATGAAACGATAAAACGAATATGGCAACCATATTGTTTTCTGAATGGGACTTTGTTGTGGCTTAGGGCCTTGACAACGGTGTTTGATATTCCAGAGAACATAAAAGCCGTTTTACCTCGAATACTGGGCCGCTTGCTTGATTGAAAGCTTATTAATGAGAATCTCTTTTGAGTAAATAATTCGACCGCAAACAAGACGCAATCTCGATCACAGGATATTAAGATCGATCCCTGAAATTTTATAGAAGCCGAGAGGCATTTGTAATCTATTTTTCCATGTAAGTGTTTTCCTTTGATTTTCCTGGAAATGAATTTATAAATTTCGAAACTATTTTGGTACAACCAAACATGAATAGCATCATCGCTAGATTTGCAGATTTGCTCAGGAATTTTTTTTGCGATTGCTTTTTTTCCCCTTTACCCGTGAAGCGATTCAAAGATTGCATAGCAACGCCCTTAACAGGAATCACAAAACACAAAACGGCGCGCTGAGTGGGCTCGCTTTGAATTCTGTTTTTCTTCTCTTCCTTTTCCACCCACGAAGTAATCGCGAATGTATAGGTCGTTTTTTTTTAACTCACCATTAATTGTTCTCTTCAAACATTAAGGTAAATTTAAAATGGAATTTTTTTTACAATTTTCTTCACTAACGTATATGCAAAATTACTCGTATCTATGCAAAATCCCCCTTTTAGGTCATGCTAATTAAATCACGTCCTTGCGTGTTGATTGCTTTCTAAAAAATTTTTTTGTCATGACTACATGCATCCTCGAAGACCCAGGGGCTGAGTCCATTTCAAGTTTTTTTTTGAAGAGCCCCTAGGGACATTGTCTTACAGGACTAGTTCCAAACGGTCGCAGTTTTTTTTCCATCTCATTGGTGCCAGAAAATCTTTGTGTTTTTCTGCCCAATCAGAGTGATTTTTTTTTTAGAAACCTTTCGTGTGTTTTATCACGGACGTATATGCTAGTAGCTCAGTTTTTTTTTGTGATTGTTTGGACCGTGCGACGGAGATTTGCTTGAGGTGAAAAGTTTCAGTCTCAGCACACAAGAGAGATCGATCAGATTGTCCGCGAAAATTTTACCGGAAATTATACTGAATACTTTCGCAGTTATCACTAGAGAACGTGTTTTAAAGTTTGTGAGTTTTGTTTACTTTTTTTTGGTTGAAGTCGTTGATAGCTTAATTTGCTGTGACTGAAACTTTGCCAATCCTTTTTTTTTATTTCGTCGCACGGGCCATGCAGGTAGGTCAAGCAACTGGCGCTTTCGCCTTTTTTTCTTTCTGCTTTCTGTGGCGCCAAAATCTAATCTTCGCTTTGTAGTAAAGTCGTTTTTTTGAGGGCCAAGGTTGCAGAGAACGTTAAGTTCGTGGACGACCTCCAGCAAGCGTTTTTTTAAAGCTTAGCTGTGTTTCCGGTTAGCTAATTAAAATCTGAACAAAAACTTATTTTTTTTTACATCGTGAGGAGAGATGTTTCGGGCAGTTACCGAAGTGGTTTGGAAAGAGTTTTTTTTTTCAACTGCTGCCTAGAGTGTTGAAATTCTTGAGCTGGGAAGGCCACGGATTTTTTTTTAGTCCTTTGGTCATTGTCATTTCACCTCTTCTGTCGATTGTTGAAGACCAATTTTTTTACCTTTGATCATTGGGAATCGATCCGATGCTGCTTTCAATGAGAAAAACAAATTTTTTTACCAACAAATATTGGATGGAAAGGGCGGGTTTGCTTTATTGCAAATGTCAGCTTTTTTTTACAGGGTCATCTACCCACATCCAATAAACAAAAGTTTCCACGCCATACTTTTTTTTTTCTTCAAGCGAATATTAGATTAGATTTTGGCACGCACAGAAAGATACGCAAGTTTTTTTTGCTCGACATACCTGCGTGGCCCGTGCGACGAAATAAGTTCACGGGATTGGCATTTTTTTAGTCATAGCAAATTATGCAAAAAAATCTAGAAAGATTTAAGCTTAAATCTCGTTTTTTTTTTAAAGCGACATATCAATGACTGCAACCATCGCGTTGTATACAAACCTCGCTTTTTTTAAAACACGTTCTCTAGTGATACCTGTGAAAATATTCAGTATAATTTCTGGTATTTTTTTTCGCGGACAATCTGATCGATTTCTCTTACATTGTCTGCTGAGACTGAAACTTTTTTTTTCAAGCAAATCTCCGTCGCACGGTCCAGACAAACATAGCGAGCAACTGAGCTATTTTTTTATATCTCCGTGTTGAAACACACGAAAGGTTTCTAAAGTACACTTTACTCTGATTTTTTTGAAAAACACAAAGATTTTCTGGCACCAATGAGATGGCAGAACGACTGCGACTTTTTTTTACTAGTCTTGTAAGACAATGTCCCTAGGGGCTCTTCATGCTCTAACTTTAAATCGACTCAGCCCCTGGGTCTCCGAGGATGGACTACATGTACCTAGTGACATGGAAAATATTTTTTTCTGCATTGACTATATAATGACTTTGAAGGCCAAGTTTTTAGAAAATTGAAGGACCACTTTTGGAAAGGTTTGCATAAGCGTTTTAAAAATTATTTAATATTACTTCTCAGCTTTTCCATGAAAGTAATGTAATTTTCAACTTGAAAATTGTTAAAGAAAAAGCACAGCAATTTTTTTGCCCTAGTCCCCAAATTTCACTACTTACAAGGCCTTGAATTTTTTATTTTTATTTTTTTGCATTTTCAAGGCTTTTACAAACCCTGAGTAGGTGATGTATTTGCCTTTAACTTTTTTTAGGGAATTTTTCATCTATTATTGGTACTGAGTCATAGTTTATTGCCAAATGTTCACACCCAAGGGCATTTGTCAGAAATCAGTAGATTGAGGCAGTACTACTGCTCAATAGTTTTTTTTTTTTAATATAAAAATCTCTGAATATTGAATATTGCTGATGGCTGCAACAAGTTTTTTTGTGGTGTTTACAGTTTTAGTATATTCAATTAATGGCATTTAACTTTCATTAAATACCAAAAGGGAATACACATATTTTGACCTTTTTGTGGGTTTAAAAATGTCATACAAATTTTTTTAAACCACATCAAAAACCCTGTACATTCACTATTATTTCTTACAAGATTTCTTTTTTTTTGATTTGCTGTCAACTGAATCAGACAGTATTCCTTCACTGTAATCACTTTTAGTTTTTTTACTCCCTTCAGTTCCACAAACATCAACAGTTTTTGGCAAATCATCTGATGGTTTTTTTTTGTTTAAAGATGAATTTTCATATAATCTTTTGCCACACTGAATAACATTAGATTTTTTTCTTGAATTCCGATAACTACATGATTTTATTACAGAGTAGCTGAGTGAATAGATTTTTTTAGCACAACTCACATTGAACTTTCTGGTTTCACAGGCATGACTCTGAAAAAGGTTTTTTTTTTGAACTTTATTAATTTTAATCCTTTCAACTCAAATATATCATTGTTATGTTTTTTTTGAAAATAATGTACTCAGCTATTCAGTGATGATGCTTCAAGCTGCGCACATGTTTTTTTTGGATGGCTTCTACCATAAATAACCCTTGCATGAGAATCAAATATTTTCAAGCCCACATTACCTCTACAATAGATAGAAACTACAGCATATCCTGTTGTCAAGACAAAATTGTTTTTTTTTTCAGATATAAGTGATTGAAAGGCTCTATCTAAGGAGGTACAGTACTGATATTTTTTTATTGTAGCTTCTTGATGAATAGTACCAGTGTAGCTTTCACTGTATCGAAGTTCATAGTCAGTCTCGAACACATTTAAAAGTGTGGGTAATTTTGTCTGTATTAAAAATGATTTTTTTTTTAACTGAGACAACCTTGAATACAACTGATTTCCAATATTCATTATTGACACTTTTTTTTTAGCAGAATATTGATTCCTTGTTTGTTAGGGGCCGACCATTTAACTTTTGATTTTTTTGGGTGGGTGATTTCTGGTCATCAAGAAATTTTTTTCTAGCAATCTGCTGTGCTTTTTTTTTTTTTCCGATATTTTGGTACATATTTTCTGTTTCATTTGGGCTCCATGCAATTTTTTTCTTCCAACAAGTGCTTGCAGGAAATTCTTTTTCAAAATCACCCACCC